CCCCACCACCATTTTGAAGTCGTTGCACATCACCATCATCAACAAATATAAGGCAACACATGACCTAGTAGTTCAACAAATGACTTTAATCTTTGTAGTTTTAACACATCCAGTCAGCTGGATAAATTGCCTGATAGGACAATAGCGAACCAAGTTTGCTTTGTTTATTTGGTCAACCGGATGCATGGCAGTTTGGGAGCCTAACGGCTTGTAGTGCCACGTATTAAGTAATTGACCAGATATAACAACTAGTTTTTCATGGTTTTTCTATATAAACCCAACCAAAATCATTTGAATGAACTTTTTTCATTTAGAACTAAAAACTTGATATCAAAAGATTTAGCGCTTTCTTTGGAATCTTTCTCACGCTAAATTAAACCCATTGCTACTCTATAACTACCAACTTTGTAGCCGTAGGTTAGGTTTTTTTGGGCTAAATACGTGTTTATATAATCCATTTAAAGATTTTCTACTATTTTATTCATTCTCTCTTGGGTTGTAAAAAAGTGTGTTACATTCTTGGGGTTTTGGGTCTTTCTAGTGAGAGAAAGTAAATCATAGTATTTGTGAGAAGTTTAATTGCACGTTGTGTTAAAGTTTAATAGCACTTGGATGAAAGCTTTTCGAATTGGATTGACTTGGTTGGGTGATCAACCAAGGTGGATAATGGAATACTCTAAGAGGGTAGCTTTGAGGAGAGGATGTAACCAGGTTGCGTCGAACCACTATATATCATGTGTTTGATTCTCTCTTTATTTATCTCTCTTCTTTTTTTTTTTCTTTTTTTTTATTTTTTTTCTTTTTTTTTTTAAGTTTATTGTGTTGATTTTTTTTTTTCAGTTTTCTTATTAAAAAGATTACAGTAAGTTCATTTGTCACGTTTTCTTTCTACTTTTGGTTCTTCAATTATAATTATAATATGCTTGATAGGGTGACTCCGATTTCCAGCATTGGTCATCTATTACACTTTGAACACAAAAAACTTGTCAAGACGCTCAAGTCAAGTTTCTAGTCACAACTCACAATAGAGAGGTATAATTAAGGTTATGTTTGGTTCAGGAAATGTTGTATTACTGAGAATGTTATATTAATGGATATATATATTACCTTGAAGATTACTGTGAATGTTTAGGGAAAAGTGTTTGGTTAAGTTGGAATAAATTGGTGGATATGTTATATTGATATGTTTCGTTGGAATGAATAAATTGGTGAGTATGTTATATAGACTACTAAAGTACCCTCTTTTTTAAATATTATATAACATTATTATTTTTTAAATCATTTCTTTTAATCCCCTACATTTGAGATTTTGCTAAAATATTTCAGCCACATAAAAGTTTAATTTCTAACAAAATCACCCCCACCCATCCCAAGCCACTGTCGATCAATGGCCACCACCACCGATCGTGACGACAGTGGCCAGAACAACACACGACTAGTCGATCTGGTCGACCGTGCACCGATCTGGTTGTTTTCGGTCAGATCCATCCATGGATTTGGTCGAAAATGACCAGATCTATGGCCAGATTCTTCTTCATGGGAGAACTTTTGATTTGGTAAGGATTTCATGAATGAAGGCAAGTAGAGATATTTTTTCCCTTACTATCTTATTGCCGCTACAAAAATCGTAATTCCTTTTTATTTCATAAATTTTGGAAAGTATATATCCTTATAAATAAAATATTTAATATTCTATATGAGTTATTAATGTATAAAAGTTTTTAACACCATTGATGTTTGATTGCCAATTTTTATAATAGGGGACGAAAATTGTCAATAAAATGTTTTATGTAACGAAATTCTTTGCAGCGGCAAACTATCCAAAAACAATATTTTCACTACCTATACTCCTAATGACCAAGTTTATGTGGTGGTGACTATTTGACTTTAATGTGACTTCTTTTTTAACATTTAGGCAAAGATCTAAATTCTTTAGTGTTCATCATATTAGAGCATCTCCAATGATGCTCTTTATTTTAAATAGCATATTTTACATAAATAAAGAGCGTCTTTGTTAATTTCTAAATATTTTGTATTCAAATCCAATGGATTCTTTAAATTAGACTTAATAAATAAGAGAGCGACTTAATATGAGAGAGAATTAATAATAAAATACATAGAAACTTATAATTTATTAAATAAAATAGAGATAGAGAATGAAATTTGACTCTCTAGATGTAGAGAGCTAAACTCACTCTTTAATTTATATTTAAAAAATAAAAAGTCTATTGAACTCTTATTTTTATGAATAAACTCTTTATAATAAAGAATTTGAATCATATAAAGAGTCATTTGAAGATACTCTTAAATACTTAGATGTTAGAGCATCTCCAATGGTGCTCTTTATTTTGAAGAACATCTTTCATATAAATAAAGAACATCTTCATTAATTTTAAAATATAAAAAACACAATTTTTATTCAAATCCAATAGACTCTTTAAATTTAATGAAGATGTTCTTTATTTTTAAGAAAGAGACTTAAAAGGAGAGAGAATTAATAAGTAAAATACATAGGAACTTATAGTTTATTAGGATAGAGAGTGAAATTTGACTCTCTAAATGTAGAGAGTCAAACTCACTCTCTAATTTATATTTTAAAGATAGAGAGTCTGATTTTGTTAGACTCTTATTTTTATGGATAAACTCTTTATAATAAAATGTTTGGGTCATATAAAGAGTCATTTAGAGATGCTCTTAGATTCAAGATAATAATAATTGTTGTGTATTAATAACTTCTTCAAACCTCCACTGCCTATAATACAACTCCAATGGAGTAATGGCATCAAAGATAATAGTTTCCACCATTATTAATTCGGGAGTACGTATAGGTATGTAAGTGGTCTACTTACTATTCAATATTATTAAAATTAAAATTTTGAGCTAAATTAAAAAGGGTAATTATAAAAAGTGAAATCAGAAAATATAAATTTTAACATTAATTATTTTATGTTATGGTACAGATTTCAATTCATACATACAGAGAAACTTAACATATACATAAAATCATTTGCTGCATGTATAAATGCTTTGAAGCTGAATCTATAGCGTACTATCCTGGATGAGTGGAGGTTGTCAACGACATCAATAATTCATTATCATTATGCTGCGAAAAATATTTCTTATGAGACAGTGACATCAAATATCTCACTTGTAATTTTAATGAATCACCTTGTATTATATATATATATAATTAGTTTACTATTGCGGCAGTTCTCGGGCTGGTGTAAATGTCGATCAACAAGAACAAAATGGACACGTGTGAAGATAACTAAACTTAAAACTCAGGAAATTAACACTAAAATAATAGTTAGTTCAATAGATTTACTTATGGAGCTGATATCTTTGACTTCACTAATCACTATCTCCATGCATGTGCAAAATGAAAGAGGCTTAATTATATAAAAATTATCCTTGAAATTAACACATATCCTGGAAAACCGGTTCCTTCAAGACTGTCAAAAATATTTGAAACAGGGAATAGGAATCCGCTATTAAAAAAAAAAAAGCATCATCCCATTTTTCCATGGAATATGAATCATATAATTATCATATACTTACCGTATAAGAAGGAACAATTACAATTATATTAATCAACAATAATGAACATGACAAAGAACATTTCTTATAGATGTTTTGGTACGGATCAAGTGGGTGTTCCTGCTGCTTTTGCAGCATTATATATGTATATAAAAAAAAATTATACATGTCTCAACATAAATAATCTTCCTTCCAAAAATTTTGAATATATTAATAGAATCCTGTTACTTCTTTGTGGTTTCCGATTTCTCCCCATTACCATGAGAGATCTATATTTTGTCGTACCTGCTACAATAGCATTCAGCCAAACTGCTGCATTTGGGATGTTTGCAAAATTCACAAAAATGGTACACAATCAAAGGTTGATTGCAACAATCTCAATGGGATTGTAATTTCTTGCCGGTCATGATCTTGAGTAATTTTATTTAATTAACCTCCAAAATATAATCATTTCAAGTAATGTTAAATTTTCTTTGACATTATTATATCATTCACAATATTAACTGATCATTCGCAGAGTAGTCTATTTAAGATTATACATCATTTGATGAAAAGAAAACTTTCGTAAAAGCTAGCTATAGCTGCAGAAAACATTGGCCGCAGGCATGGGGATTCATTGAAAGTGAATAAATCCATGGCAGCCCCATGTCGAAAAAGTGAGAGCTTCTGGTTAAAGGAAAATATAGTAGTTGTCTCTATCATAACAAAGGGCAGTTGATAGCTTCTATTTAGGAGGATAGGTTTCCCTTTCCGGGAAAATTAATTAGAAAACTATTTTAAGTTTGAAATAAATTAAATAGTCATAAAGTTTGAAACTCTTTACTAAATAATAATTCCCTTAGACGATATAAGCCTATCGCTTAAACGACATAGACTTATCTATAAGTTATCGCTTAAACGATATGTGTTAAATCGTTTAAATGATAAAGTTTATGACTATTCAATTAATTTTAAACTTGAGATGGTGTTTTGATAGTCACCCCTCATTTTCCCGCATGAGTTAGAAATTTTAGGGTGGGGATTTTCAAGTACACCACTAAAAAAAATATCATAAAAGCATGCAATGAACTTAATTACAACATGTTATGTGTTGGAAAGTGGGTAAAATGATATTTTGAATTTAAAACAAGTAATCGTAATACTTTTGTTGAATTAAATTCGGGATATGGAAAATGGCGATGTTCTTGATAAGATTAAATTAATTAACTTAATTGTAGCACAGTTCCGAAAACCTAAATTTTTGACTAATGGATTAATAGAATTTAATGGAGTTTGAACTTTGAAGTTTATGTATGCTTCGTTAATATCAATAAACTCGTCCGGCATCTAATATTCAAAGGTCGCCGGCAGGAAGGGTGGGGAGGTAAGCAAACAGAAGAATGGACGTAATAAAAACCATATTAATTATTAATTAATTAAATTGGGGTTACATGTATTTCATAAACACCAAAAACTCACTGGGGTAGTAGTTCTAAAGATCAAAATTGATTGACAGTGTAAAAAGAAAGAGAGAACGAAAACTTCAGTCTCAAAAAACAAACCATGAAATATATATACAGAGATCACTAAGTATATAACTAATGATCTCACAAACTTGTAAACATGCCTTCACCAGATCGAAAGAAATCACATGGAGAAGCTTTTAAAGTTTCCTGTAAATATAATCAGATCTGCAAATATATGTTTCTCTTTCTTCTTTCCTCAGTTTATTTAAACACCTAAACAAAAAGAACATATAAGCCAGAAACAAAAGAAGACCAAATATAAAGGATTTGCATAAACTATATAAAACCAATTTAACAATAATAGTATCGATTAATTAAAAATCGGAAGAACAAGCGACATCATCTTTCATAATATATAACATGAAATTTAAAGTTCTCATGTACATACATAAATAGATAATACTCAGATTCTCCACCCGATATGCTAGAATGATGAATGGCTCTTATTTTAATACTGCTTTTCTTTCTCTTCCTTAAAATCTCAACAGGTTGAAATTTAACAAGGATTCAACGAAAAGGATTAGTATATGAAAAATCTAAAACTAAAATTGTAAGTACAGGACTATAACTACAATTGCCTGGCTCCATCCTGTCTGCCTCGTTTCTACTCAGTGAAGGAAAATGTTGTAGAGTGAGAGTGGGAGAGAGAGAATTACATTACATTGTAATATTCTTCTTCTTCTTCACCATAGCTTATAATTCTTTTAAACACCCAAAATGACCTTCGATTTACAAGGGAATTTGATGAGTGTCGAGGGCAGTTTCGCCATAGCATCTTGGAACAAAATGGGTGGTTGAGAGAGATGAGAAGTGCTTGTCCTCTTGGGCACAATCCCACCAAGAATTCCTTCTCTCTAAAAATTATATTAAAAATCTCTCTCATAATATATTGAGAGAAAGAGAGAGAGAGGACAGAAAGAAGAGAAAAGAGAGAGATGGGATTATAAAGAGAAGGACCCATCTATGTAGGGAAGAGGAAGAGACACTAAGCCTGTTGTGCATGCGGCTTATTTTGGCAATAAACTGTGCGTTTTGGCTGTAGGTGGCCGGTGAAAAGCCCTTTTCAACTTACCCTTTGGTTCGTTTTCTGCCAAGAACCAAATATTTCTCTTTCATGGTCCCCTTCATTCAACCATATATTTATTTTTCAAGGGTCATAAATCACTCTATATTTTTTGCTAACAATACAAAGATTCATCAACTTTTGCTGTATTTTATGGCCATCTTTTTTGTCTTATAAATCATCCTAAAGATTTTGAGAACAATTGTTTGGTGTGATAATAGATTGTGTTGTTTCTTTCTTTCATAGATATGGAACCCATTGCCTAAAATTACTATGAGTTTAGCCAACCACCAAATCATTAATCACAACTTTAGAAAGAATACCTATATTTTGTGATAAATTACCGTAGAATTTTTTGTTAACAAAGTTGTTTTACTTTGAGATCATTTTTTAATAGTTTCTTCTGAAATATATCTTTTGTTAATAAACACACTATGGTTCTATAGGCAAAACAGCTTTCAATTAATAAATTAATTTTTTTAATACTTAAAATTTTAAAAAAAAAAAAAAAAAAAAACATATAAAAATGGCAATAGACAAGCTAATCTTAGCACAGAAAATCAACTCCGTATATAAATTTTATATTTGGCGGATGTATACATAGTATATACAATTGGTTCACGGAATGATAATCGAGCCAACAAAGCAGACCCAATTAAAAAAATTGTAGGTAGATTTCAGAGTTTGAAGAGTTCAGCGTTTGCAAGCTTCACAATAATATTTTATCTTAGGTCACAATATCGTTTCCTTAACATGGGTATCTATAAAAATCTTTGTTGAAGAACATGATGTTATGAAATGAGCATTATATCCTTAAATTCATATTGTATATGAATGGGCTAAATGATAAAGACATGGATACTTACATTAAGATTTCATTTGCCCATGTAATTTATGAATTAATTATAGATACGAATCATACAGGCAAATGCATCACTCATTCAATTTATTAATTATAATTTGTTTGATGTACAAACGTTGCATCAATGAGACAGCCACCCTCTTTGACAATGAAGGATTGGGTGGTGTTGTGCCTTAAACGTCAATGTTCTTTACATTCAAAGAAACCCATCAAAACCTTCTCCCAATTATCACCAAAAGCGACTTCACCTTTTCTAGAAGCTTAAAGCCTTTTGTGCCTATTAGGAGTTGAGAAAGAGAGGCCGACAATATATTTTGCTCTCCATGTCAACTTCCTAATGCAATGCACTTCCATCTGCCACTATTCTTTTACGAATTTACGGTGGAGTTCCACTCAAGTATTAGGGCTATCGAATTAATCTTTTGAGTTTGATATTTGGAATTAACCTCTAAAACTAAGATAAAAGTTATTTTATTATCTTAACGAGAATGTTGGTGCTGTTCTTCCAATTCTATAGTTCCAAAAGAAGAAGAATTTGTTGAGTCCTAATTGTCAGAATTGAGAGAGCAAGAGAGATAATTGAAGAAAGTCGAAGTATGCCTAAGAGATATGCTCTAATACCATGTCATATTTGAGAGGGCGAAAGAGGCAATTGAAGACAGTCGAAGTATGCCCTAGATATATCTTTGAGAGGGCAGGAAAGACAATTGAAGGGAGTTGAAGTATGTCCGAGAGATATTTTTGAGAGGGCAAGAAAGACAATTGAAGAGAGTCGGAGTATGCCCGAGAGATTTATTTGAGAGAGAAGAATTGTATTCAATTGAATTGAATTGTTTGTACGGAGTTGTTGCGAACTGTAAGTGAATACACAACCTATTTATACAAAAGTAACATTGTCATAATATATGTCATCCATGTCAACTTCCTAATCGAATGCACTTCCATCAGCCACTATTCTTTTACGAATTTACGGTGGAGTTCCACTCAAGTATTAGGGCTATTGAATTAATCTTTTGAGTTTGATATTTGGAATTAATCTCTAAAACTAAGATAAAAGTTATTTTATTATCTTAACGACAATGTTGGTGTTGTTCATCCAATTTTATAGTTCCAAAAAAGAAGAATTTGTTGAGTCCTAATTGTCAGAATTAAGAGGGCAAAAAAAGTCATTGAAGAGAGTCAACGTATGCCAAAGAGATATGCTTTGATATCATTTCAGAATTGAGAGGGCAAGAGAGGTAATTTTAGAGAGTTGGAGTATGCCTAAGAGATATCTTTGAGAGGACAAGAAAGACAATTTAAGAGAGTTGGAGTATGATATCTTTAAGAGAAAAGAATTATATTCAAATGAATTGAATTATTTGTATTAAATTGTTGTGAATGGAAAGTGAATACACAACCTATTTATACAAAAGTACAATAACATTGTTATAATATTTGTAATCTCTCTATGTAAGAAAACACAATATTACCACTCTAAGTAAGAAAATTGAATACCTCATAATAATGTTTGTAATCTTCCTCGGTAAGGAGATAGAATATCAACATTCCCTCTTCGCATTTCACACTAACAGATTCAAATTGGAAGAGATTATATCTGAATTCATAAGCCTGAGTATGTATTATGGGATATTTAATTAATGATATGGCAAAGAAAAGATTATTAATTTCAAGAAAAATACATATTAATCCGTATTAATTATGTTTTAATAAAAATAAAGTTAACAAATTATCATAGATTGTAATATATACAGAAACATTCCCAAGATTGTCAAATTGATATTTATTGAAAAAAGTTGGTAAAAAAGAGTACTATACAGGGCAATGTTACTCTTTAATTAACCAAGCACATCTCTACAAACATGCTTTTGTATTTATCGACCATCTTCATCAAATTTTAGGTTTCTCTAAATAATATGTTCTTATTATAGAAAATTTTATGGTATATAGAAAGCGCGTGATCGGATGATAGGATGCAAAACAAAATATTTTAGTTGCTTTTTTTGTGGATAACTAAACGTGAATCATTTTATTTTCTGATAACCTATTTATTTATAACTGTGGTTCTATTGTAATAGGATGGCAAAAACTAAATAAGGCCAAATTATTGTAAATAAATATTTTTTTTATTAAAACTTGTATTCACTCAACGCAATTCCGAAGATATAAAAAATCATTTAAATATATTTATATTTAATTTTAACTCAATAATTGCCAAACTATTAAATTATATTAAATTGATAACCAAAAAAATATACTTTAAATATAAATTAAATTAACCTAACCCATACTAAGATTTGAATCTCCATATTGTATTATTGTTACAAAATGTTGTTAGGGCGAGTACCACAACTTGTGAGACCTACAAATGAAGACGAGTAGGCTTGTGGGCATCGGGTAGGCTTATAATCTGTCGGCTATTGGTAGCAAGAGTAAACGACTTTTTCCCACCAAATGTTTGCCTTAATGACACTTTTCCACCCAAAAAGTTTTAAAATACTAATTTACTACTTAGATATTATATTTTGACCAATCATTAGTCAATTTCAACATCGTTATGATCCCATATTACCACAATTCTCTTTCTCAACCATGACTAACCAAAACCCTTCAAATCTTGCTCCTGTCAACCCTGTCAATCACGGGCAATCGAGCAATTTGTGGAACACGCAACTGCCATTCTCAAGTTAAATTTCGACAAATCTCAACTACCAAAATCCAACCTGTCACCACCAAAAGACTCACCGATATCCTCTCTTCAAAAGCCCTAATAGCCTAGACCGAGTTTGATCTCTGTTTGCTGTCGAATCAGAAAATATATTCTGAGTAGTACATAGAATATAAAATTGGGTAGTAAATTGATATTTTGAAATTTTTTTGATAGGAAAATGTCGTTAAGGCAAATCTGTTTACTCTTGGTAGCAATTACCAAAGCCCAATTTCTGGTTTATGAAAGTACAACACAAATCAAATTAAGGAGAGTTTGCCTACATTTATTGGGCTTACCATTATGCGTACAAACATCGAGCACTGGCCCATATTTGTTATTGCCTTAACTTAAAAAAAAAAAAAAAAACCTTTTTTGGTCCACCATTTTCCTCTTAAATCCTCTTTCCGATTTTAAGTGAGAATATAGTTATAAAATTCTTCTTTTTCTATTCTTTTTTTCTTATATTTTAAGTGAGACGAGAAATTAAAAGAAATTTGGATCAATAAAAAATTCACAATTAAATTAAAACTTGTATATGGGCTAAAAAGATGAAGGATGGAGCTAAAATAACTACTCTACAAAAATATGGCAATATTGACTAAAGTTTGAACATACTCATTCCAATCCTAAATTGATAATTTTGACAACATAATTAAAAAAAAAAAACTCTCTTAAAGATTTCATTTTATTCTCACATGTTATTAATGCTATATTGATAGAATGGGTTACACCGCAGCCAACTATAAGATATTATCTTACCCCTTTGATTTGAACTTAAGACTTCATCATTAGAAATGAATTAAGAGCCCAATTAAGGCATAAAAAAACATAAATCTTTAAAATCCTAAATGGTGACTCTATCCTAAGTGGTGATAATGTAACCTCTATAAAAGTGTATAGTGATATATCAAAAATATTATATAGGTTACGTTTGGTTTAGAGTGATATAAATTAGTTCTATAATTTTGTTTAATTTTCAAAGATTCCCTTGTTTGGTTGTCAAGTAATAAAATTACGTAATCTTTTATTGTAAATAGTGTTTACTGTTGGTAATATTGAGGGTAATCAATAACTTCCAAGAGGTCTTAATATAAGATTATCGAGGTAATATTAATTTTGATCCTATTTTGCCTTTAATCTTTTATCATTTCAGACACATTTTTGTCCTCATATGTCAACCAAAAATAACATTACCCAGACCCCTACATTTGAGAATTAGCTAAAACACTTTAGCCACAAAAAAGTTTAAAAGTTAACAAAATACCTCTAACTACGCAAGAC